AAAGCATAATATGCTAATTAGGCCTGGCAGCCAAACGACCTTCTGGACATCATTCTGGAGAAAACCGCAGCAGCAGAGGCCAAAGCAGAGGCAGTTTAGGGGCAATCAGGCAAGCAGGCAGAGTGGTTAGGGGGTGGTCAGGCAGGCAAGAAGAGTGGTTAGGGGTGATCCAGCAGGCAGGCAGGCTAGCAGTTAGGAGCCAGTGGTCCCGGATTGCTAGAGGGATGTCCAACTGCTGGTTTAGGCCTGGTCCCACAACTGGCAGTCAGACATCCCCTGAGGGGTCCCAGATTGCAAGAGGGTGCAAGAATTTCATGCACCCGGCCTCTAGTATCTCAATAAAGTTCTTAGAAACTCAAGGAGATATAAAAGCTCCCCTTTGAGTGTAGAAAACGAAGAGAGGCAGGCCAAGAACCTAGTCCCAAGGTCCTCCCACGTTTGTACATAGGAGAGGGTGAGGGGCCAGTGAGAGTCTGAAAAAGTAGCCAACGATGATGAAATTCATTGCCCACCCTTCGCTGTTCCCTGACCCACCTGCGTCCCCATCTTCTGTTGGGCCTGAACTGGGGACCCTACTGTCTCTCAGGTGTGGATCCCCATCTCACTCTTCCTCTCTCTAGTTTTGGCTTAGACCCAGGGAAGTAGCTGAAACCAGTTTACTGAAGTCTCAATTTATAGGGATACAAACGTGAAATAGTTTTATTTTTCTCAGCATATCCCCCCTCCCTCCCCCACCATTGTACTATGTCAAATCTCAACTTGCATTTCAGGAGATTCCAGCTATGCATTTCTTTTCAGTCATTAGCAAATGAAAATCCTCAGCCCAATTAAAACTAGAATCTTCTAGCAATATATGTGCTCTTCTACTCCCCAGTGAAGACAGGTTTCATGGGCCAGGGCACCTGAAATGGGGGAAGGGGAGTAGCTTGCTGCCTATCTCTTTCTCCTTCCTCTCTGGAGGTGGGGAATGGGGGTTCCTCTTAGTCACCTTTTCCTGGTCTTCCCCCTGCCAACTCCTTGGGGCAGGAACGAAGGCTGTGACTTCACTGACCCTGTTAGAGTGTTGGATGCCACTCCTTTTCTGCCCAACCGTTGAGAGCCTCTATGAAGTGAGTGTCCACATGCTGGCTCTCCCAGGGCACCCACATGTGAGTTCTTTGCAGGGTCCTTTGAGGGTCTGTCCACTGCTGAGCAGGATGATGTGGGAGAGCTGGCTCCAGGTCAGCCCTTCCTCTATGCCCACCCTCACCAATGCCGCTTGCTCTGTGTTCCCTTGCCCAGAAAAAAGGGCATCTTCTGTGCCGACCACCTGGTCCTCAGGAACCTTGTCAAGCACAATTGTGGGATGCAGCAGCCCTCTCTATCCCCTGCCATCTCTCTCCAAGTTTCTTGTTCCCTGCAGAGGAAGACCCAACACTGCCCCCTAGAATTGCACTCCGGCATTACAAGTCCCTTCTCCCCACCATCCAAATGCCAACCTTCCTGCCAACCTTCCTCTAGAAAACCGGAGGGTAAGGGGCTGGGTTGAGGATGAGGGTAGCATGACTGGTGTCCCTAGAAAGCCCCCAAGGGAGGTGTCTGACCCACTGCCTGCATCATCCTTTGGAATCTAGGCCTCTGATGCTTTCTGTCCTCGCCTCTGGATCCCAGTCACCCATGATGGAACACTGGACAGACCCTGTCCAAGGTCATAGCAGAGGAATCTCTTTGACCCGCAGAAATGAGGAGGGTCTAGAAGTGACAAGACAGAGGGGCGTGGGGAGAGGCGAGTCCTCTGAGCCTCTAACTCATCTAATGTTCCTCCCTGTCTGGCCTTCAGTCCCCACAGCCGAGAGAAGCACTCCTCTCACCCAGCTGACCGACATCCTCAAGAGTGGAGTTGTCGTCACAACGGGCCACATCCCTACCTCAGGCCCCGGGGCCCCCTTCACCACCAGCGTGACGATGCTCACACCCGGGGTCCTCACCTTGGCCAGACTCGTGCCCTCCCCGGCCTCGGGGACCATCAGGCTGAGCTCCGTGACAGGCTACAGCTTCACCAGCCCCTCCACCCCGGGGCCCATGAGGAACAAGGCCCAGACAGTGACCACGTCTCCCAGCAACGCCAGAGCCTCCTCAGCGGCCCCCGCATCCGTCTCCACCGAGGCCGGGCCGCTGCGCACCACATCGCCCACCATGAGAATGTGCCGCACCAGCAGGTCGCTCCTCAACAAATTATCTCCCATCAGGTACCCTGGGCCAGGGGCTGAGTGACATGCCAGGCATGGCAACAGTTCTTGGTGCCTGAACACCTCAGGTGCATAGGTCACAGCCGGCCTCCATGCCTTCCTGAAGTTCGGGCTGGCTTGTTGGATGGGAGGTGGGAGCCTGGGAGCTGATATGGAGAAGGGACACATGACATAGAGCAAGGCAGTGGGAATGAGGGCAGGGGAGGGGTCAGTGCGAGGCTCTGTGGATACAGAGGGTGGGGCAGGGCAAGGAGGTGGGTCCGGGAGTGGGGACTGGGGATGCTTTCATCTGGGTTCCCCGGAAGCGGACTCTGAGACCAGGACGTGGGGAGAGCACAGCCAGAGCGGCCTCTGTGGGCAGCAGAGTGGGTTCCACCGGGAACTCTGGGCGCCAGGTTCCAGCAGCCACCTGAGGCGCCAGGGAACTGGCATGTTTATATTCCCACTCCTGTTGGTCATCGGTAGAGGGCTGCTGGCCATGTGTAGCATGGAGGGCGCCAGTGGCAAGAGAAAGTCCTCCGGCTAAAAAAAAAAGTAAATGGAGGTGCTGTGTGCGGTGTACGTGGAAGTGACACGGCCAGGAACACAAGCTGGGCACCTCCTTTTTTTTTCACCTCTGTCACCATGAGGAGAGTAAGAGCCTTGGTCCCTTCTGTCACCAGTGTGGTCTCTGAGAGTCCTGTCCTCACTGTGAGCAGATTTGGGGGGAGGTGGAGGGGGAGTGCTAAAGTGGAGAGATGCTCCCTCCACCTGGGATGTCCTCCCCTGACCCCCAGTGCCTCACTGCCTTCTCCTGCAGCTGGATCCCCAAGGAAGAGAGGCCACCACTTCCCGCGGGCTGTCAGGGTTCCCCTCTCTTGACTCCTCTCGTGTGTGTGTGTGTGTGTGTGTGTGTGTGTGTGTGTGTGTGTAAAAATGTGGCTGGGGGGCTGAGGAAGGGGGTGGGGGACCTGATGCTCATATCCCCCTCCCTCCCATCCCCTCAGGCCCCGGGCTGCCCGGGCTGCTAACCCCACTGTGCTGGCGGGGGTGCTGTCCTTGCTCTCGGTGCCTGTGATGATGATCGCGGTCTATGGCTTCTGGAAGAAGAGACACGTGGGCAGTGAGTAGAGCCCCCGCTCCCGGCCTCCCAGGGCAGTAGGTCCCAGGCAGTGTGTCCTCGCCTGTGCCCCAGGGGGGCTGCAGGGCACCAGGTGAGGGAGGGGAGTGGGCAGGAGGGGACAGTGCAGCATCCCCTCTGGCTGACCTGGCAGCAGTGGGGGCAGGGCCAGGAGAGGGGAGTCCAGCCCAGGAGCCCGCCCCTCATCCCTCTCCGTCCTCACAGGCTACAGCATCTGCAGGAGCCCTGCCAGGCCCTGGAGGGCCCCCCCTGGAAGGCCGGAGCCTCCGTGGAAGCCTGCATGGTTTAAGGCCACTTATGGAGTGGGGGAGCTTTTCCCCGAGGGACCCCAGGAAGTCACAGAAGTGAAGATGGGGACCTGTCTGGATTGGAGCCAGGTTGGGGGGTGAGGACTTGTACATGCATGGGCTCAGGGCTCCCTAACCTGAGGCTGCTCCTCACTCGCCCAGTCCCTGGCTGCCAGGAGCCTGGGGAGGGGCCCCCAAGAGGGTACTTCACAGGAAGCCAGGAAGCCCCTGACGGAATCTGCTCAGAGCCCGGCCCCAGCTGCCTGGTGCTGTTTACAGACAAAGCCTCAGCTCCCACGGCCTCCGGACCCCTGCCGTCCAGCAGAGGGGAGAGGAGCGAGATGGACAGCATCCCTCTCCCCACCGGGACCCTGTGTCCTCAGCTGCCCTCTGCTCCCCTCCAGCTTCCCCATGAACGTGGGGAAGAAAGTCCCAGAGGCAGCAGGTCCCAGCGGCCCCCCTGGAGGAGGAGGAGAAAGTGACTAAGAGCTGGGGGTCCCAGAGGCATCGGCAGCAGGGGCCCCAGAGCTGTCCAGCCCGGCCCTGCGGCCATGTACCCTCCACTGACCTCCCATGTGCAATCGCCAGGCTGCTGGTCCCTCAAGTCCTGGGAGCCAGCAGAGACCACCCTCTCACTGCTGCCACCTGCTGGCCAGCCCCTCCTGGGACAGGTGTGATGGGCAGCTGAGAGCCCCCCTCAGTGGCAGGACCAGCCTGACCCCAGACTGGGGTGCAGAGGCTGAAGTCAAGACTGTCTCCCCAATCCCACCTGGGCTGCAGGTCTGAGCTCTGAAGGCCCTTCAGAGTCCCCTGAAGGGGGACCACAGCTCAGTGAGGGGGGATTGCCACCCCCAACACCCTCCCTCCCAGGGTGTCCTCCCCTGGGGAGAGAGAAGCCACTGTGACACAGGGAGACAGATCAGAGCTCCCACAGCACAGGACTGCCTGGTGGGGGTGGGCGGGGCCAATGGGGCAGATGCAGCCCAGGAGCCTGCAGGAGGGGCTGGCTGGCAGGTGGCAGCCAGCAAGTGCCCCTGCCTCACAGGCTCCTGGCTCGGACCTGGCCCCTCCTGCAGGGAAGGCTGGACAATCAGGGCTGCATTTCTCCCCTGAAGAGGGGTCTGCAGCCTGGATGGACTGGAGAACACATGGGTCTAGATGTGGCATCTCTACTCGGCCCTGGGACAGGGACCTCCCACGCGGGAGAGCAAAGGTCATGGTCATGAGACCAAC